GTCTTATCTATTTTTAGTGTTTGCTCTGATAACTTAAAATTTGTGACTATTGTGAATTAATTTGTGATAGTTCCTTTATAATTACCTTAAATTTAAAACATTAACAACTAAGATGCACCAAAAAGTTTCTCATTAAAAAATATCAGTAATTATATGAGGGACTCATTTATGCTTATGAAAAATTTAAAAGTACCAAAAATGACCCACCAACTCTAAAGGTTTGTCATCTCTGCCCTAGTAGTTGTATTATTGGTACTCTGCTGAAAGTGAAGCACTTTTGTTTGATATGTGAATGAATAAATCTTCAATTAAATATAAATTAATTTATCTATTCTTTATAAAAATTTCTTGCCAAGTTAGGTACCAAGTAAGTGAATATTGTAATAAATACATTTTATAAATTTATTTTGTAGTTTTGCATTTTTATCATCATTAGTCGATATTTCTGCCAGTGGCAGATTGAGAGCACTCAGATCAATTTCTTTCTTATCATTCTTATATATCACAAAATTTACTGAATGCCATGAGATTCCTGTGAGCCAATCTTCTGAGTGGATAATCATCCTGGAAATCCGATATCTGAAACTTCTCTCATAACTGAATTGAAATACTGAAAGCATGCTCATTTTTAGTCTGGTTGACTGAGTTGGTGAGGGAAGCTGAACTAACTTACCAACAAATGAACGACTTCCAACTTGAATGACTAAGCAGAAGAAACAAAGATGATAGAAAAAATATAATGTCACTAGTAATCATCATCAGTCATCATTAATCACTGTATCCACCTGCAACAAATTGCAGTCTTAACATTATGTATTTCCCACCATTTATGATCTTGAGCAAACTTATTTAGTGTCTACCATACATTAGTTAATAACCAAAGAATTATGTTATCCTTCCACCTCTATTTTGTTTTTACTTCTTTTTCCAGGCACCATATCCTCAAGATATAATTTAGTGAGCACTATACAACATATTTTAATAAGTGCAAATAATTTAAAGAATTTGCTGTGGATGTGTGGGTGGTGTAATAGCAGCTCAGAATGAAAAATTGGAGAGCAGAATTCAAATTTCATTTAGGTTTAGTGCATTCACTTATGTGCAAATACCCTTGAATCCATCTCCTTCCTCAAGCTATGGGTTAAATAGTATGTCTTATATCTGGACAGATTTTTATTCTCAAAAAATTGTTAATGCAATATTCACTTGCAAAAAAGAAAAAAAGGTAAGCCAAAATAATCCAAAATATATTTTGGCTTTTAAATAACTCACTTTATTTTGTCTATCAGTTTTGTGATCTGTGATGATGTGCATCATGATCTTGGAATTTTTCAATTTGATGTGAAAGTTCTCGAGTTCAGTTCACATAATCTGAATTACTGTTAGTACTCATCGGCATCCAGAAACTTTTGCCAACGTGCCTTCAGCTGCGCAATGCCTTGGCGGTAAAAATCAGGTATCTTGAACGCAATGAAGTTTGCAAGTGCCTGCCATAAATCTATCTCATTTACAAAGGATTTCCCATGAAGGTGGTTGGCCAAGGATTGGAATGGTAATCTATTGGTGCAAGGTCTAGGGAATAAGATAGATGGCACTGTGTCTTCCAGCCAAATCACTGTATGGTATCCCTGGCCATTTATACTATATGAGGCCTGGCATTGTCATGGAAGAACAATAAACTCTTGTGATTAACCAATACTGGCTCCTTCTCCTGTTGCACATGTTCCATCTGCTGTAAGTACAAGTCTGCAGTAATGTTTTGGTCAATAGATATCAGCTCATAGTGCACTACTTGTCAACTAGTCCACTAGATACAGAGCATGATCTTGTGTGGGTGTGGAGGTGGTCTTGTAGTGTACTTTGTGATGCCAAGAAATTAACAAGAAACAGGCTGTCACTCATTGCTGCTTGTTGGTTTCTGACAGTGTATGGGGTACACACTTGGTCAATCTGTACTTTCTTCCCTATGTGGTGCATGTGAAGCCTGTTTCATGAGAAACTTGGAAATGTTCAGCAAACACACTACATTGTTGTCCTCCTCTATGGCTGCCTTCAGAGCTTCATCATCCAGGACATTTGGCCAGCCACTGTGAGGTTCATCACAAAGAGACAGATCTTCTGACCTGAACTTCTGGAACTAATGCCTGTCAGTGCATTCACTTGCAACGTTATCTCCCAAAGGCTTGATGAATTCAGCAACTTGACAAGCCCACTTTTAAAGCTACAAAGTAGAAAACCCTGAAGAAGTTGTTTTAATACCACCATGTTTCCTTGCCACTGCTCAAGCTATGACTGATGTGTGCATAATGCACCTGCATTAGTCAAGAGCAATGCACCCACCCCCACTACTTTTCTGGCATGTGATGCACTCGTTTGCTTAATAGTGATCACTTAATGGTGAGGACTTTTTTGGTTACCTTAAATTAAAACAACTGTATGTAAAGTATATTTTAATTTTAGTGTGGAGTGGTACTTTTCTTGATTTCAGCGTATCTTATGTTTTCTAAAAGCAGCCCACCCAAGGCTTATTTCATGTTTTACTGTAACTTAGTTGTTTTTGCAAGATAGATTGTAACCAAACTAGACAAAATCAGTTACTTGATCAATTTTTGTTCCATTTATTTGGATGTTATGTTGTAGCTGTGTTTTGTCTGTTGAAACAATCTTCTCTAGGTTCAATTCAAGGCCAATTTCTTTTGTCTTATGGGAAAGAGGATTTGAAAATATTTGGTGCTCACTTAGATTGCACTTTGACAGGGCTATATCATTTGCATATGACATTTATTTGACACCAGTTAAGTTTTGCAGGCTCAATAGATGGAAAATTTTGTTTCATTTATTAATGTTTTTGATTTCAGTACTTTTTTGTTACCCACTTGGTATCTACTACCTTGTGATTTTCAAATGACAAAGTTGCACAAATAATTACAATCTTTAAAATTCATTTCTAATTGTTTCTATCAATAGAAGCTGTTGAACTGTTGGTTTCACTGTTACATTATATTGCATAAAACTTGTGGGCTCAAAAAATGTACAAACTTTGATTTCTCAGATCCTAATTGTCATTTGCTATTTGTTTATTAAAATTTTATTTTAAATTACATATTGAATCTAGTTTTTTACTATAAATATGAATTGTTGGTCATTCTTACAATCAAAATGCATTTTTATATTTTCATAGTATTTTGTTTTTGTTTGGGGGTTCACTATTTGCCCATACCTGGGATCTTAACGTGCTACCAACTCAGGTCAGGGTGGACCTGGGAACAACAACAATTTAGCTGTAGTTCAATGCTCCTCTAAACTTCCAGTCTCCCACCTTGATGCCTGATGTAGTTTATTGTCATTGAATTTCATGAAGCTAATGATGGCACAAAAAGTAAAATTTGTTTTGTTTGTGATTCTGAAAGTTTTTGGATAGAATTAGATCTTACAATATATTTTTATACCGTCAACCAAGGTAAGGATAATATGATTCCAGTACCATTTTTTTTAAAGACTTGTTGATTCATGTACATACTGATGAAGATACTCAAAACTCTGGAATTTTATCATGAACTAATTACTTATACCAACATGTAATTTCTGTTATTTCCTTTAAAGCCATTCTCTTGGACATTTTGCATACTGGCCCATAATGAATAGTGGCATCAGTTCATTTGGTTTGTATTCTGTTCAAAATCCAGGCTTAACATATTGAAATACTGGGTTCCATACAATCACTGAAGTTAAGCAATGTCACACTAAACACTTTAATTAGTCCACTGGGGTAGATTGTTCTCATTCCACGTGCCATGCCTTTTCTGGATATCCCAGTTTCAGTTATTTTCCTTTCATAACATAACTTCAAGTTAATGTTCAGCTCTGATGTGGCCAGGTATTGAACTCATAACTCTTTGGGTTAAGTTGCTAGATTATTTCAATCAATACTTTTATCCACAGTGTCCATGTGAATAAAAGGAACGTACAACAGCTGAAATGTAAATATGTCGGTGAAGATGACAACAGTCCGAACAATTTAAATAGTGTAGATATTACTTGTGTTTGTTTTGTTGAAGTATAAATTTTTTTCCTATTGTTCCTGACTTTGAAAGGTTTTTTTTTTTTTTTTCACGGCTGTATTGCGAGGCTGTTGAAGTTTTATATATATTTTCTCTTTTTCTACTTGTCCTTCTTACCAAAAGACCTTTTGGAAATAAGCCACCAACTGAGCTAATTCCTTATTTCTGTTTTCACTAGTCTGCTATATTCTCAATCCCACCTATCAACAAATTGCTGCTTGTTTACAAAACCGTAACATAAGAGAAAAATATTTTCTAATAATTCCTAAGATTTTTTCTTTTCAATGGGAAATTTTTTTGTTTGTTTATGTACTGAATATGTTTTTGTTCAATCTGTTACACATTTTTTCTTTTTGCTGGTTGGATTATGTTTACAAATAACAAAACCAAGACAGTTTTCAATTTTTATTATAGGTTTAACTTTTTTTGTATAAGACTGTATTTTCATGATCTAATATACTTAAGTTTAAAAGAAAAAAAAAACCCAAACCATGAATACTAACATTATTGAAATGGGACCTTAAACAAGGACATTTTCTCTCTTGGATTCTCTGCAGTAAGTATGTGTATACATATATATGTCAGGGCAGCTGCTATTTGTTGATTTTATTTTGAAAATCCAGAGTTAATTTAATCTTGCTGCTGAAGTTCTTTTATTACAATTCTAAAGAAAAAATTGACTAATTTTTTTTTTTTTTAATTTTCAATTTATAAATAGATTTGTTAACATTAAATTTAGGAAATTTATATGAATAGAAAATGATTGAATAGTTGTTTGTTATACATATAATGTAAATTATAAACATGGATTAAAAAATACTTAAAATAATTATTTTTAGGAAGAATGCTCAACAATTGTGTGTATAAAAGTTTATGAATAGTAATGGGCAGTTAATTTAAGTTTTAGCTTTAAAGTAAAAAAAAATGTGTCCATGAAAAATGGAAATTTTACAAAGTTTTTCTTGTTTTCTTTCATTCTCTCTCTGTCTCTCATTTTTTCTTTCATTCTCTCTCTGTCTCTCATTTTTTCTTTCATTCTCTCTCTCTCTCATTTTTTCTTTCATTCTCTCTCTCTCTCATTTTTTCTTTCATTCTCTCTCCCTTGTTTTTCTTTCATTCTCTCTCCCTTGTTTTTCTTTCATTCTCTCTCCCTTGTTTTTCTTTCATTCTCTCTTTTCTTTTGTTTTTTTTTTTCATTCTCTCTCCCTTGTTTTTCTTTCATTCTCTCTCCCTTGTTTTTCTTTCATTCTCTCTCCCTTGTTTTTCTTTCATTCTCTCTCCCTTGTTTTTCTTTCATTCTCTCTCCCTTGTTTTTCTTTCATTCTCTCTCCCTTGTTTTTCTTTCATTTCTCTCTTTTTTTTTTTCTTTCATTTCTCTCCCTTGTTTTTCTTTTTCATTTCTCTCCTTGTTTTTCTTTCATTCTCTCTCCTTGTTTTTCTTTTTCATTTCTCTCTCCTTGTTTTTCTTTTCATTCTCTCTCCCTTGTTTTTTTTCATTCTCTCTCCTTGTTTTTCTTTCATTCTCTCTCATTTTTTTTTTCTTTCTCTCTCCCTTGTTTTTCTTTCATTCTCTCTCCTTTGTTTTTTCTTTCATTCTCTCTCCATTGTTTTTCTTTCATTCTCTCTCCCTTATTTTTCTTTCATTCTCTCTCCCTTATTTTTCTTTCTTTCTCTCTCCTTTATTTTTCTTTCATTCTCTCTCCCTTGTTTTTTCTTTCATTTTTCCTTGTTTTTCTTTCATTCTCTCTCCCTTGTTTTTCTTTCATTCTCTCTCCCTTGTTTTTCTTTCATTCTCTCTCCCTTGTTTTTCTTTCATTCTCTCTCCCTTGTTTTTCTTTCATTCTCTCTCCCTTGTTTTTCTTTCATTCTCTCTCCCTTGTTTTTCTTTCATTCTCTCTCTCCTTGTTTTTTTTCTTTTTCATTCTCTCCCTTGTTTTTTCTTTCATTCTCTCTCCCTTGTTTTTCTTTCATTCTCTCTCCTTGTTTTTCTTTCATTCTCTCTCCTTGTTTTTTCTTTCATTCTCTCTCCTTGTTTTTTTTTCATTCTCTCTCCCTTGTTTTTCTTTCATTCTCTCTCCCTTGTTTTTCTTTCATTCTCTCTCCCTTGTTTTTCTTTCATTCTCTCATTCTCCCTCGTTTTTCTTTCTTTCTCTCTCTCCCTCGTTTTTCTTTCTTTCTCTCTCTCTCTCCCCCTCGTTTTTTTTTTTCATTCTCTCCCCTCGTTTTTTTTTTCTCTCTCTCTCCCCCTTGTTTTTCTTTCTTTTCTCTCTCCCCCTCGTTTTTTCTTTCTCTCTCTCTCCCCCTCGTTTTTTTTCTTTTTCTCTCTCTCTCTCTCCCCTTGTTTTTCTTTCTTTTCTCTCTCTCTCTCTTGTTTTTTTTCTTTTTCTCTCTCTCTCTCCCCTCGTTTTTCTTTTTTCTCTCTCTCTCTCTCTCCCCCCTTTTTTTTCTTTTTTTCTCTCTCTCTCTCCCCCTTTTTTCTTTCTTTCTCTCTCTCTCCCCTCGTTTTTTCTTTCTTTTTCTCTCCCCCCTTTTTTTTCTTTCTTCTCTCTCTCCCCTCGTTTTTCTTTCTTTTCTCTCTCCTCTTTTTCTCTCCTTTTCTCTCTCCCTTTTTCGTTTTTCTCTCTCTTTTTCTCTCTATCTCTCTCTCTATCACTTTCTCTTCTCTCTCTCTCTCTCTCTCTCTCTCTCTCTCTCTATTTCTCTCTCTCTCTCTCTCTATCTATCTCTCTCTCTCTCTCTCTCATCTCTCTCTCTCTATCTCTCTCTCACTCTATATCTCTCTCTATCACTCTATCTCACTCTATCTCTCTCTATCACTCTATCTCTCTCTCTATCACTCTATCTCTCTCTATCTCTATCTCACTCTATCTCTCTCTATCTCTCTCTATCACTCTATCTCTCTCTATCACTCTATCTCTCTCTCTCTCATACTGACATTTAATTGATTAATCAGGACATACTCACAAGTCTATTTTTAATTCTGTCCTTATATATATATATATATATATATATATATATAATGGATTAAATCCAACATATTTTTAATTTATTTGTTTAAATGTTTCCTGATTCTCGAAATATACATATCTGCTCTGTTTCATATCCTAATGTAAACAAAGACAATTTTTCAGGAAGTGGATTAAATCTGTCATATTTTTAATTTATTTGTTTAAATGTTATTTTTAATGGATACTCATATTTGAGTAGAATATTTAATTCACTATTCCCACATATAAGAAGCCTACTAGCATTAATTTGTGTACTCTTAATTATAAGAGTGATTGTCCTAAATATTACAAAATAGCAAGTATAAAAACACCTAATAAACTATGCAAAAATCTGTTTTGTGGATTAATTCATCCACAAAACAGATTTTCTACAGTGAACTAAAAAATATAAAACAAACTCTTATTAATAATAACTTCTCTACCTCTATTGTTGATGAGTACTGTTGTGGTTATTTATATTAATATATTCTAATTTATTTTTATGTCCACTCTTAAATAGAGCTTCCTCATAACTTATTTTATTGGCCTCAAAAATGTCCCTATTGGAGGAATTAGTAGAAAGTCTATACCCAATATTTTTATCAACCTAACCAGCTATTAAATTCTAAAACTGAAATCCTTAACGTATGTAGACATAAAAAATCTTGGCTACTAAATTAGACATTTTCCTGTTTATTGTCATTTCATCTTGATGTTTGTGTTTTTTTTGTTTTTTTTCCCCATTTTTGTTGAATAAATAGTTACCCCCCCCCACACTTAGGTTTGTGTTTGTGGTTCTTTGGTCACGTGGTATAATTTTAGCTATCGCCTATAAATATGCGTTTCTCTTTGCCTCGTTAGCCTTACTTTCCCTGACGATCCATTTAGGTGAAACCTAGGTAGGTTTGTCTGGCTCACTAGGTGTATGTAAGTTTGGTCTACGGTTGTATTGAGCGCTTTTGTTAGTTGTTTACTCATATCGGGGTTTTTTCTTTGGGCTTCAGACCTGCATCTGTGCGATTTTTTGTCGGCAGAAGTTCATGTTTGTAGCTCTTTCTTTTTTTTTTTTATTAGCAAATCAAAAATTCGAGGGTTTTTCGAAACGAGTCTAGTTATCTATAATTATATATATATATATATATATATATATATAATTATAGATAACCAATAGTAGTAGTATAACCAACATTTTATATATATATATATATATATATATATATATATATAAAATGTTGGTTATATTTGAATGATTCTTTGTCTTGACAGTTGAGTTTTCATTTGAATGATTCTTCACAATTTAGGAAAATTCTTGTTGAAAATGCATCTATAATTTTTCATGAAAATAATAAACATAAAGTAAAAATTCCTGAAGCTATCTTAGAAAATTGAAACCAACCCTTAATAAAATTTATCATGAATATTGCACAAATGTTTTAAAATGTTTACAGTAGATAGTTTAAAATATCTAGGTTTTAGCTAATAGTTTTAAATATCTTTTTTAAAAAACATTTGGACATATCATAACTTAGTTACCACTCCTGATGTTTACATTGTGAAACTTAAATCATACAGTACATAACCTTAATGTTTTTCACTTCACAAATAAAAAAATTTAACATTCAGATAAACACAACAATTTGACTTAGAAAAAAATAACACCTTGAAGATTATGACATTGTGTTAATGTTGAAAGTACTCAGAATAAATGAATATGTATCAACATGGTAATTTTCTCTCTTCCTTTAATAAAGTTACTAAGAAGCTTGTCTGTGAATATGAGAGGGTCCTATTGAAAATGTCTAAATTATTCATTGAGACATGTCTTAATGAAAACATGCTGCCAAAACATATGCGCACTCTCTCTCTCATGTATGTATGTATGTATGTATATATATATATATATATATATGTCATAAATAATTTGTTTTTCTTTACCAACTTTATTCTTCAAAAACTAAAATACAATATTTTGACCTTTTATTCATTTGAATAGTCATCATTATCTGTAATGACTAGACATAATAGACACTGCTTAATAAATAAAAATATGGCATCTATTTCAAATACGAAGTAATAAAACTTGGATTGACAATAAATTCATTAAATTTTTTTTAAATATATATTTTGTATACTTTACTCAGATGCCTCTCTTGAAGGTATCTATTCAGAATATAGTTACTGTATAAGTTTGAATGTGAGTGTTCCTGTATCTGTTTCTTCATAATGCCAGTATGAATTTTAGTCTACTTTTCAATATTATGTTGTCTATATATTACTCAAATTTTTTGAATCAAAGAATATTTTTAAAAATTAAAATACATTAAAAGAATTTATTCAGTGAAGTGTGTATAAAATCTTTTAATCATAGTTTTTATTTAAAGTAGAGAAATGTCATGAATTTAAAAATACTTATTGATAAAAAACAAAACAAAAAATATATAATTGTTGCTTAAAAAAGCTGAGAAATAAATTTTATTTGCATTTTTAAACTAATGTAAAAAAAACACCTGTGATAGCTTTGAAATTCCAACTGTCTAAATCAACTGATTTAGCAACAAAATAATTTAATATTCAGCACAGTCTTGTGACTGCAGTAGCAATAGTCCTGGGTATGATGGTAAACTACATCTGGCAGCAAAGCCTCTGATTGGGAGATTGACGGTTTTAAGGAGTGTGAAACCACTTCTTAATTGCTGTTGTTCCTAGGTTCGCACTGACCTAGGGTGATATCACCTGTTAGGGTCCCAGCTATGGGCAAATAGTGAACCACCAAAAAAAAAAAAAGAAACCAAAAAAAAAGCTATGAAAATATAAAAATACAAGCAATACATTTTATAGTAGAATTACCAACAATACATTTTATAGCAAAGTGACCAACAAAACATTTTTTCAGTAGTTGAAGCCATAAAATTGTGTTCCAAATATTTAGATTTTGGCTTTAAATAACCCATAGAGGTTGATATGCTCCTAAACCAAATCAACCAACCAACCAAGCACTAGCCCCATTGTGGTTTTCAATAAAGTTCAGTTTCTGTTGTCATAGCAGAACATGACATCACAACTCAAAATTCAAAACTTTCTCTCTTCAGATCTGATCTATACTAGATTTTCCCCTCTTCCTCTTTGATATCTTTCAGCTTTCCATTCCTTCTGTATTAAGAAAGCATTAGTTTAAATACTTTCAACACTGGATACAAGTCATCAACAGTGATAGAACAAAATTGATGGATGAATTAAAGGACATTAGTAGTTTCCTTCAAGGTATTGATCATTCATCTTTTCGTTTGTTTCTAAAACAAAAGGGAGGAGACTCTCACCTCAAGCGCCACAACTATATAGTTATACCAATCATTCCTTATGTGAGAAGTATGGCAAAATAGATCCAAAAGATTTATTGAAGTTACAATATCAGCATGGGGTTAAAAGTAAAACTATTTTTGTAACCTGCTTACTAGAGTTGGGCACTTATAAGAAAAAGGTTTGACTAAAATCTGCATTTAAATCATTTGGCGTATCTGTGAAAAGGTAAATTATAAATGGAGAAACTAGCCATCCTCTTAAAATTCAATTAAAAAAAAATCATGAAACCATAACTAAAGGTAAAAAAAATCTTGTATGGTGAACCATATCTGAAGGAAGAAGTGCACACGTTACTTCCTCTGGGATGAGATCCAGACGGGGAGCATCATTGGTGGAAGGAAAAAAGGAAGTTGAATGAGACTGCATATATCAGCTTGATTGATTCTTGTGAGCCAGAGGAAGATAAATCTTGCTTAAAACAATAACATGAATTCTAAACTAAATTTTCATCATAAAATTTTCTGAACAATTTCAAGTTATAAAAATACTTAAGTTGGGATGTAGAGAGATTTTGCAAGTCAGTAATTTTATAATTATTAATTTTACATCATTATAGGTTAAGAATAAAACATTGTGTATGTTTTCATATGAGAGACTATTTTGGGGAAATATTTAATCTTTTCATTCTAGCGTCTGCACAATATATATATATATATATATATATATATATATATATATATATATATATATATATATGTATTAATGAATTTGACTTTCAATAAGCACTATTCCTGATATCCAATGTGTTTTTAAACACGAAGTACTTTTTTATTCTTTTTTTAGGAGTGGGAAAGATGTCTTTTAAAATGATTTACAGAAATTAACAATTTGTATTATTAACAAGCCAGGAGGTGGCAGATAAACGGCGAACAACTTAACTAGTTTGTGTAAATGGATGGCAGAGCAGGAATAAAGCGGAATGGTGAAGAATGAGTTAAACGTTTAGAGAGCTATCAGGTCATCCCATAAGTTCTGTCCTAATTTTAACTTTTTGTCAAAATGAATGAAATTTAAAGAGTATTTTATAATGTCTAATGGAGGTGAGCATTATTTTTATGTTTAGATGCATTTAAACTGATCAAATTTTATTTCAGAGAACAATAAAATTAAATTTTGTTTGATTAAAAGTTAAAACCCTGCTAACATGGAAGTACCCAAGAATCATTTGAGGCACATAATGCTTTCAGTTCAAGAAAGGAAACTCAGCAGCCAAAGCGGCTAGAAACATTCACTCAGTTTATGGAGAGGAATGTATGAATGAAAGAACTTGCAGAAGATGGTTTGCAAAATTCAGAGGTGGAGATTTCACCCTTGAAGATGAAGATCGAACCGGACGTCCAGTTGAGTTTGATGAAAAGCTTCTTGAAGCAGACTTGAAGAAAATCCTGCTTTATCAGTTGAGGAATTGGCACTGGTTCTCAGTTCAAACCATACAACTATTCATCGTCATTCTTATGGGATGACCTGATACAAGGGACAAGACATTGTGGAAACCCATGATCGTCCACATCCTGAAGATTGAAAATAAAGATTTTGAATGAAAAGACAAAGTTATCTCCCTTTTACTTTAATGTTCATTTTTAAAAA